CTCTGTTTGTAACTAACATTGATCTGTTTGTAACTAGCATTGCTCTGTTTGTAACTAACATTGCTCTGTTTGTGACTAATATTGATCTGTTTGTGACTAACATTGCTCTGTTTTTGACTAACATTGCTCTGTTTGTAACTAACATTGCTCTGTTTGTGACTAACATTGATCAGTTTGTGACTAACATTGATCAGTTTGTGACTAAAATTGATCTGTTTGTAACTAACATTGCTCTGTTTGTAACTAACATTGCTCTGTTTGTGACTAGCATTAATCTGTTTTTGACTAACATTGCTGTGTTTGTGACTAACATTTATCAATTTGTGACTAACATTGATCTGTTTGTGACTAACATTGATCTGTTTGTAACTAGCATTGCTCTGTTTGTAACTAACATTGCTCTGTTTTTGACTAACATTGATCTGTTTTTGACTAACATTGATCAGTTTGTGACTAACATTGATCTGTTTGTAACTAACATTGATCTGTTTGTAACTAACATTGATCTGTTTGTGACTAACATTGCTCTGTTTGTAACTAACATTGATCTGTTTGTAACTAGCATTGCTCTGTTTGTAACTAACATTGCTCTGTTTGTGACTCATATTGATCTGTTTGTGACTAACATTGCTCTGTTTTTGACTACCATTGCTCTGTTTGTAACTAACATTGCTCTGTTTTTGACTAACATTGATCTGTTTTTGACTAACATTGATCAGTTTGTGACTAACATTGATCTGTTTGTGACTAACATTGATCTGTTTGTGACTAGCAATGATCTGAATTTGACTAACATTGATCTGTTTGTGACTAACATTGATCTGTTTGTGACTAACATTGATCTGTTTGTAACTAACATTGCTCTGTTTGTGACTAACATTGATCTGTTTGTGACTAACATTGATCTGTTTGTAACTAACATTGATCTGTTTGTAACTAACATTGATCTGTTTGTAACTAGCATTGCTCTGTTTGTAACTAACATTGCTCTGTTTGTGACTAACATTGATCTGTTTGTGACTAACATTGATCTGTTTGTGACTAGCAATGATCTGAATTTGACTAACATTGATCTGTTTGTGACTAACATTGATCTGTTTTTGACTAACATTTATCAGATTGTGACTAACATTGATCAGTTTGTGACTAACATTGATCTGTTTGTAACTAACATTGCTCTGTTTGTAACTAACATTGCTCTGTTTGTGACTAACATTGATGTGTTTGTGACTAACATTGATCAGTTTGTGACTAAAATTGATCTGTTTGTAACTAACATTGCTCTCTTTGTAACTAACATTGCTCTGTTTGTGACTAGCATTGATCTGTTTTTGACTAACATTGCTCTGTTTGTGACTAACATTTATCAGTTTGTGACTAACATTGATCTGTTTGTAACTAACATTGCTCTGTTTGTGACTAACATTGATGTGTTTGTGACTAACATTGATCAGTTTGTGACTAACATTGACCTGTTTGTGAGTGCTGTTAAACAGTTCCTTTATACATGTCGAGGGTTAGTATCGTGTTATCGTTTTGAACAAATTGAATGAAACGTGATACAACAAAATACTAGGTTAGCTTTTTATGTAAATATAGGACGCTTCCTTTATTCAGATCGACGGTTAGTATCGTGTTATTGATTTGAACAGTGTGAATGAAAGTTGATAGATCAAACTATCAGGTTAGCTCTTTATGTTAATATACTGTAGGACGCTATAAGCATAAGTTACCTATCGGCACGGCGTACGTATCCAATATCACCTAATGCACCTTTACATGATCAGATTGTATTCGCATGTCTAAACACGTGCGCGAATACACGGTGCTTCATTTTACTGTTTACTGGTGTAAGAAGGTGATTGTTATGATATGATAGTCTATATCATATGGTTCTCAGATTACCTTGCCTTCGCTGTTTTTTAAGTCATGAAAGCGGGTGTAAATACACTACCAGATGACAAAGTAGACGGTGATGAAACATACCCATTGGCGGAAACAAGTGAGTATGTTTGTCATTGATACTATCGTTTTGTCTTTGCTGTTTCGAGAAAATGATTGGGTTTTATAGAACGTAAATATATCATTTCTTCACTAAGATCAATAGCCAGCCCTTTTATTTAGTTACAAGTATTTCACGATAGGTCAAATTATCTTTTATGGTTATTTAGATTATCGTTTATAATGTATTACACTGTATTTATTTTTAACATCATTCTGTAGTCAGCCAAATGTCCCACACATTGTTCAAATCTTATTAATCGTCACATGTTGTATTATCGTGGTGCCAATTGTTGACAGGAGGTGTGCGCATGCTTTATCACGGGGGTAACCGATACTCGCTATTTCGCTGACGTCAGAGTAATACTCGCTGTTTGGATTACGTCGGTGCAAAAAGTTAGTTTTGCGCCAAATACAGCTTACGGCAGAGAAAAATTCTTCCACGATTGGAAGAGTGTCGCGACAAAATATAAGATTGCGTAAGTATAATGATGCGGTTTCTGCCCTTCACAAAGCCGATATATTATCTATTTATAATACAATATACAAGAGTGAATATCCACCTCTTGTTCCACCATCTCGCCCCAACTTCTCCTACCTTTCTTCTCTCTTTTCTTTATGTTCTCTGTTCTCCCTTTCTTTTTATTTTCTCAATCACTATCTCAATTACTCTTTCTTATAAAGACAATGTAATGATCTCAGTAGACAGTCTGCGCAAATTTATCATTTACCTTTTTGTGTGGGACTGATAAGAGCGAAGCTCTCGGGTGCCGTAGGCCACCGTGCGGAGCTCTTTACCGGTAACATGTGCGTGTAAATAGATCTGATCCAAACTTCCATCACTAAATCGTACAGCTACAGCCTAGAAACTTTTCGTACTTCCGGTGACCTGTTCCGGTTCATGGAGCCCGTAAATATGCCTAATCGAATAATAAAGCGACATGATCATGACATGTAACGAAGCAGGAAAATGATGTATTCGAACCAACGAATTTAGAAAATAATATTGACCGTATTCAATACACTGGGCGTGTTTATTTCCACGATTTCTTTCCTTTTGTAACGAAAAGATAAATCATCGGCATGGTCATTAAACAGCTTACATGAATGTCACAAGCTAATGGCGTCGAAGAGTGCGTAAGAATGTGATTAGATGACAAAGTATTACCGTCGATTAAATTAGCTTAAATTTTGGAAAGCTATACATAATTTGATACTGACAACTTTCTAAACATACACATTTTCTATCTGAATATTGATAATCGATCGTAACACACGAGGGTCATTCCCACTAGGACGGAAATACCCGAGTATTTACGAAGCAGGGTCAATGACGAGGTCGCTTGGTTCATTGACGAAGTCAAAGTTCACGGGTCGTCTGCCCCGGTGAAACAGAATTGTCACCGACAGCTTTCCAAGGGTAGACGTAAGGTGTTTCAAAGGGTACAATTGCGGAATTTTCAGTATTACTACTCTTGTTTTTCTGCATTTTTGTAGAACGTCAACTGTATATTCAGTTCTTATCAATTCTTCCATTTGGGGATCGTTTCTGTTGATATTTTATTTGATTCAAATTTGTGATATTACCTTACAGTAGATTTTACAACTAAAACTGGAATTTCAATGCTAGATCTGCTTGTACAATATATTGAATCTAGTTTCATCTAATGCAACCCAAATTAACAATCACTTGAAAAGACAAACATTATCTGTACAGTTTTGTACAGTAAAATATCTTTATTGATACTTAGATAAATATAAACTTTAAACGCTTGACAATTTGTACTTCCGTTCAACTGTGTAAATCTTTACAGCATTTCTAATCAAAATCAAAACTATTCTGCATATGATGTACCTGGTGATGGCAATTATTTTTATTCAACCACATTTAACACCAATATTGACTCAGGAACAACAAGTCCATCATGAAACTGACATCAATGCCATCAACACAATCATTACTGAAACTTCACTTGCATGATATGCCAATCTCTCTCTAGGTATCTATAAAAACTGAATGACAACAGCGACGATGAAGAGGAGGAATCTCCTGCTGTAGATACCTGGAATGTTTAACGTATATAATCAGTACAAACATTGAATTTCATCATTTCACATGGATTATCTGAATTATTAAAAAGAAAAATCTAAAATCTTCATAATTTATTTATGCATCACCACTCGAAAAAGAAACAATGGTTAATGCATTTATGACAAAATTAAAAATAATTTTCCAGACAACAAACCCGAGTTCAATGCCCCTTTTCAGCAACGTATTACTTTTTCACAACGCGTGCCGATTTATAACTAGTTACAGACAGAAACTGTTAAATTATATTTGGCATCATTACCTGTCAAACCTCGATGACAGTAACAAAATGTGAAATTCAATCCGGTGTTTCATGATGGAACAGGAATTGAGACTGCATATCGATATAACGACAATCTCAACATTAATGTGGTGAATTTTGGGTAGAGTTATCTCCCTTAGACCGATAACCGCGCCGACAACCTGGATGTTCCTCCACCTTGTTAGCTAAGAGCAGTTCCAACTACTTGTTGTGACGGTGTGAATTCACGACAATTGGTGTCACTAGTGCGAAACAACTCGCGCTATTCGCGCTATTTTGACATTTTTTCATTTTTTCTTTGGATATTTTTTTTTACCTTGCTGGTCCCTTCTCGCTCGCCACGTGCGCTGGCCATTGTGACCAGTGTGCGAATTACGAGTGAGAGAATTTGGGAGAGTTCTACTAGTTTATTGTTGTTTATTTAATTATTTATTAGGGGTAAATCAGAGTCGGCGTTGTTCACTGACGTTCTGAAATTTATATTTAAGTTAACTTAATGTATTTGTTACTTTGTACGAACTCCATTCGCCTGTATAGTGGGCCGCCCATATTTGCGGAATACGTATGACAGGCGAGACTTGAGTATCGTTAGAATTAGGAATATTATTTTTATATTGTAGGGAAATTATTATATATTTAGTTAGGTTAATATTACATTAGGTTAGAAATTAGTTATTTTAGGAATTAGAAATTATTTTGTAAACTGTAAATCGTAATTGTAATCGTTTGAATTTTGTACGGGACAGATACACGTGTCTACTTGTAGTAACGTTAGTATACTGTCCTCGTGCATAATTTTGTAATTGTTTAATTAAGTGTTTTAACTTATTTCTTTGTTAAAACTTTTTGATATTTTGTCATGGCTGCCATAAATGTACGCTCAGCTACAGAAGTTGAGCTGTGCACGTTGGAGGGTTTAGGCCCTACAACGGCAAAAAAAATCATTGAGATGAGAGATGAGGGCGACATCACCCTAGAAAAACTTGTCTCAAGCTCGAGGGTAGGCATGGGAAAGTGGCAGCAATGGCTAAGTGATGGTGTTGCCACGGATATAAGGGTCACTGCTCCTGTGGAGGCGCATTCACCACCCCTGTCGACCTCATCACGGGCAGAAAGGCTCAATAGACAGAAGGATGAATATATGGACATGAAGCATCAATTTAAAGAGCTACCGGTCCAGTTTAGGGAATTAATGGTGACATTGGAGACAGAGGCTCTTAAAAGGTCAGAGGGCATGTCGGCTAGAGCTGCCTCGCCTCCAAAACAGACCTCTACTCCTGCCACTATGGTATTGACTACACCTAATGGTGGTCAGTATGTCAGTCAGGGACCACAAACAAATAGCTGGTCACTCTGGGGGAGAGGCGGGTGGGGTACAACTGAATCTACCTCCATGCGATTGAGGGGGGGGGGTATCATACTCCGACCCTCAGGCAATGCCTCCTAAACAGAAAGAGTCCGGGTTTGACGGGAGGTATGTAAGGGGTCAAGATCAGGGTTCACATGTGTCAACATGGACTGCTGGAGGCATCAGTGCACCCATCNTCATGCCTATCATCAGACAATGAAAAGGGGGCTGACTTCCTGTTGGAAGATGTCAAGCCTAGTTTGACGCCTCGCAAGCAGGGAGGGGGGAATTATCCTGGGGGATATGACCCTTCACAGCCAGCTTTTCAACATAGGGGGGGTAACATACCCCCAGGTAATAGGCTGCCATACACCAATGGCGGGATAAGTAACTATCCCTTGTTGGGGTACATAGACACTCGGCTAGGGCAAAATCAGGTTAAAATAGAACAGCATACTACTCCTGCTCATGGTCTGCCTTCGGCCGTTGCCGGTGCTCGCGCAAGGGTGCCCTTAACAAGCGCAGTTAATCGTGGTGTATCTACAACAGCACGGGCTACCCGCGATGAAGGAAGGAATAGACGGACTTGCGACAGGTCGGACAACGAACGTCCTGCAAGGCGCACGCATCGCATCCCCGGTGAGCGACATGCGCGCCAATCACAAGGAACGCGCCGTGCGCCTACAGGGCGTAGACGTGATTATTCGTCGGAAAGCGACGACTCTGACCCCGAATTTTCCAGTGAGGGGGATGGGAACAGCGATACGGATTCAGAGGACTCCTCCGACAACTACCAGAGGCATCGTCAAAGGAGTGGAAGTCCTCAACGACACAAGATGCCCACTTACTCTGGTAAGGAGCGATGGGAACCATTCACTCTTAAATTCACCAGAAGTATTAAAGATAATAAATGGTCGGACCGTAAGACTAAACAACGGTTTTTCGATTGTCTGGTGGGTGATGCGTTGGAGTACGCCGATTATCTTTCTTGGGTTCGCTAAACTCAAGAAAAAGATGAAGGAACGGTTTAGCGACAAGGACGTCCCAGTGGTGGCCCGCAGAGAGCTGAACTTCACTAAACAGGAGGAGAATGAAAGTTTAGTGGAGTTTGCTCAGCGTATTCAAATCATAACTGGGGATGGCTTTGCGCATGCAGACACCACAACCAGGAATCAGATCGCTACAGAGGCGTTCCTCAAAGGCTGTCGCGAGAAGATGGCGGCGCAGAGAGCCATGGAGAGGAACCCTAAGACGGTTCACAAAGCTCTCTGAATTACATAAAGGCCTCGGTGGCCAATCAGCGTGCTCTGTTTGGTTCCCGCGCGCCACATTACTCTAGTAGGCAGGTGGAGTTTGCAGAGGGCACTAAGTCGGGGGCGACAAAGTAGAGGAGGACCCTGTAAAGTTCTCAAAAGATGAACTACAGGAGCTTAAGAAATATCTGGCCCGGCTTAGTGCGGGCGGTGTGTCTGCACGTCCGTACTCTCCTCCACCTCGGGGCGACTACCGATCACCGGAACGCGACCGAGGTTTCCCTCAAAACTATGGGGGGAACCGTTCACCGGATTATCGTGATAGGACACCGGCCCTTCATCCCTCATCGGATTATCGTGATAGAGCTCAGTACCCTCGTCCACCCCAGGACAACTGGCGTAATAGGTACGACGGTAGACCTCGAGATAGGTCGTCACTACCTTTGAAAGAGGTGAAACTGGCGATCTCTGATGGCAGTAGTATTACCATACCACACACTTTAAATGGAACTCCGATCCAAGCTGTCGTGGATACAGCAGCCACTATGACGCTGATTAAGCGGGAGCTGGTAGATAAGCTCGAGGGACCACTAGTGCTTGGGAAACGAGTGAGGCTCCGGGGTTTTACTGGCAATGTGGAGATAGTATGGGAAATAAAAGACCTTCATATCGGAATAGGGAACACTGAAGTACCCTAGACCGTATGGGAGGCCCCCATCATGGACCACATGTTGCTGGGGGTGGATTTCCTGTCATGGAACAACTGTGTCATCGACCTAGACGCGGGCGTTCTGTTAATTGGTAACCAGGCAATACCTATTACACCGAGGTTAGAGGAGCAGAGGACATCGTCCACTGTCAAGGTGGCCCAAAATGTAACCATACCGCCAAACTGTCCGGTAGACTGGGCTAGACCTAATGGGGGTACGGCCACAATTCAACCCGCACAACATCCCGGGGGAGTCATGCTTGCCGGTTTGGTAGTGCCTCCTGGTGCCCAACAATCCATAATGAGAGTGATGAATAACACTGCCAAGTCCGTCATAATGACAGAAGGACAGAAATTTGTAGAGGTGATATCCCATCTCCACAGAAAACCCCGGAGCTGTTATACAGCAGCCATGGTTCCTGAGAAAGGCCAGAGTACCTACGGGGACAACAGGTTTACCGAGCCAATAGAGCTCGAGGCCATCCCTCAACTTCCCAGGGAAACTCCTGTCTATAATGCGACGGATGAAGTTCCCAGAGAGAGCCAGAGGCCAGTGATGGTATCGGAAGAGCCACTGAGCAGTATCTCCGCGGGAGCTAACTGTGAACGGTTTGAGGAGGACGTGGACAGTACGGTACCACCGACATCAATGCCAATACTCCTGGTCCTCAACAAAATAAGCATATACATGTTCACAAACAGTGGGAATCAAAATTGAAGGAGATGAGGCGGTAACACCAAAATCTGACTCATTTCCATTTGACGGGGAATAGGTAACGGAAACTTGTGTTCGCTCCATCATCAAATGTTTCAAACCAAATGTGACGTCATCAGATAGCGTCAAGGAAGAAATGGATGACCAGAAGTTACATGCGGTGTTTGGGTTAGCTCAGGGTGGACGACAGAACAAGTATGGAAACACAGTGGGTGTCCTTAAGATCCATTTCGTCAATGATGGTGTAATCTGTGACTATGACCGTTCCTTATCCCGTCTACCGGAACCAAACTGGAAAAAGAGACTTAAAATACATGTCGAAGTCGTTTTATCTTCTGAGCCGCTGGTAGTTGAATATACCAAATGCGAAAGAACGCGTTCGCAGGGGCCAGGGAACTGTTTGAGTGAAGCGCTCCCCGAGACTATGGCGGGAAACTCTGCCAAGGACGGGGGGCTGCCATTACAGACGCCTGGCCACTGTCGCTCACCTGTCGCGGAGCAATCCGATAGCGCTGTAACCCACTCAGGTGGGGTACTCACCGGCACAGCTTGGTATACTAGAGCACCCCAAAAGTTGACTAGACTGGTGTGGAGGTTATTATGTAGTAGTTTAATGGTAGATAAATTACACGGCACTGCTGTGTTCTTAGGTAAAGTAATAACAGCAAGGACGGTAAAATCCCTTAGTATTTCTGTGGCCCAAGTAAATGGGATCACGTTGTACAGTTGGGAGACAGCTTTTAATCAGAAGCCCTATTTAAGTCAGCTATCAATACGGAGGTTCAGAAAGAGACGGTTCTCTGCCTCTCAGGCAGCCTCCGGGCCTTTAGAGACAGAGTGGTTTTCTGCTCAACCGTCTCCGGAAACTGTGAGGGATCGGCCGCTTGAGCGGTTATCTGCTCAGGGGTGGAATTGTGTTATCAACTCCCTGTCACAGTCAGAATACAAGGGGAGAGCATTCTTCCACTGGCAAGGGCACAGTGTGCATATGCAAACCATAAATATTATATCTTTAATGGTCCTGTACCTTGGAGGGGGCACTTTTAAGTTAAGCCCATCAACAAAATTAGATCTATGAAGTATGGGCCAGAACTTCCACTACTGGGCACGGTGAAACTGTGTTCCTGCTAAGGGTCCCCTATGCTTAAGGGGTGACCTGACCTTGTCCAAATCCACCAGAGAACAATCATATCCAGCATCTTGAACAACACAGAGGATCTGCTACTTCAAGAAAGACCACCTCATGATTCCTGATCAGCAGCTTTCAACCTCAAGAGGAGGCCTTCATAAAACGGGGAAGATTGTGAATTTTGGGTAGAGTTATCTCCCT